GCTAGTGTAGCGAGCCCATTTCGGCGCAGATGCCTAAGTTTAGTGCATGATAGCCGCCGTAGCAGCTTTAAAGCTGCTGTATAAATACCGTGTTAGTACCACATTATTTACGGTATGCACGAACTACTGTTTGTACATAGTATGCAGTGTACACTACGTACGGGGACGTCATTAGCTTCAGCTATTGCGAATGCAAATTCCAGCAAGTATGGCATGGAAGAGAGAAGAGAGAGTAGGTAAGCCGGCCTTTCCACCGATGCAGTCGCCGTGTTTATTGCTCTATGGGAATCAGGTTCTCATTCCATCTATAGTGCATAGTGCATTCATTATACAAGGTTTCCAGGGAGCATCCGAACGGGCTGAGATTCCATGAGAAGTTGGGCACAGCATGACCTTTCGGTAGGTACACTAGATAGTCTAGGTACCAAGACCTTAATACAGTGTTTGTACAGTACGTCTGTGGTGAGCACTGCCTGCTACAGCGCTGATCATAGTGGTCCTTGGGCACACACACCGCTGTATTTTAGCGCGTAGCAGGTGGTTAAACACCTGCTAACCGGCAGGTGGTAATTGCGAGTCGCACGGTGTTGTAAGTAGCTGACCAACAAGATCTCCGTTTCTGTGTCTAAACCGTCCAAAAACGTACATTACGTGTAGCCAGTTACATCTGCTTACAGCGTACAGATTAACTACAGTCTGTATCACTATCTGTCCGTAACGTAATTAGAAACGGGATAATACCTAACCTAGTTATCTACCTAAGGATTACGATAGGCATTGAAGCTTAACCACTCAACGCGTCTCGAAAACCTACCACATTTACGTCAAGGACCGCGTCAAGACTGGCCACGATTGATTTTTCTCAAGTTTCATCTACGGATTACTTGTTCAGTAGAAAACGTCATAGCCAATCCTTTCAGTTCAACATCCTTTAGCATAAGGCAAGGTTGTCGATGGCGACCATCAAGCCCATTGAAGCCAAAACAGTAAGCCCATATATATCTAGGTACACTTGGAACACTCTCCTTGCTAACTTCACTCCGAGGTCCACCAAATTCAATCAGGCCAAGTCATTGTTGATCTATGTTCTGTCGTCAAGGAGTTGGTCGAAAATAGCATAGATGCCGGCGCAACCAACATTGGTGAGTAGATATAAAGGCGAGTAAAAGCAGGCTTCCATCCAAACTCACGTGTTTTTCCTTTTTAGAGGTTCGTTTCAAGAACCAGGGGCTAGATCTCATCGAGGTTCAGGACAATGGCTCCGGCATATCGAAAGAGAATTACGACACCCTAGCATTGAAGCATTACACTTCCAAGTTGTCCACCTACTCGGATCTCGACTCCCTGGAGACCTTTGGTTTCCGTGGTGAAGCCCTGTCGTCTCTCTGCGCCCTGTCGACGTTCTCAGTCGTAACCTGCACGCCTTCAGATGCCCCGAAAGGAACCAGACTGGAGTTCGAAACATCCGGAAAACTACGAAGTACCAGCGTTGTTGCTGCGCAAAAGGGTACCACTGTATCGATTCAGGACCTCTTCCACAACTTGCCCGTGCGTCGCCGCGAGCTCGAGAGAAACATCAAGCGAGAGTGGAATAAAGTCTTAGGTATCCTCAATCAATATGCGTGTATTCAAACCGGACTTAAATTCTCCGTGTCCCAGCAGCCGAATAAAGGCAAGCGCATGGTCTTGTTTTCAACCAAGGGGAACCCGACCACACGCGAAAACATCGTGAATGTCTTTGGTGCAAAAACCTTGACCGTCCTGATCCCGTTGGATCTGAAACTCGAGCTGGAACCTACCCATTCGTCGAGTCGACGACCCTCGGCTCAAGGCAATGCCGAGGCCACAACTATCCGAGTCCGAGGACATGTTTCTCGTCCGGCATATGGCGAAGGACGGCAGACTCCAGATAGACAGATGTTTTATGTCAATGGCCGACCATGTGGGCTACCTCAGTTCGCCAAAGTCTTCAATGAAGTGTACAAGTCATATAATGCCTCTCAATCACCTTTTATATTTGCTGATATCCAGCTCGATACACATCTTTATGATGTAAATGTGAGTCCGGACAAACGAACCATCCTGCTCCACGACCAGAGTCGAATGCTTGACAACCTTCGGGAATCGCTCGCTGCCTTGTTTCAATCGCAAGACTATGCTTTACCGACCTCACAGCTCCAAGTATCAAAACAGCCCCTTCTTACTCAGCCCTCTCTGGGAAGGCGAGACACTGCCTCATCAGAAGTGAGCACAGGTCGCTTGGCTCCAGCTAATAACGATGTCCACGGTGAACCAACACAAACAAATATTCAATTACGAGAAGAAGATGACGGGGATACGGACATGTCTGATGGTGGTGGTGCTGAGGACAACTCTGCACCCATCAGTACAATATCTGCGGACGCGCTTGCACGATTCAAGTCCGATATACCCAAAGACATAGGAAGTGAAGATGCCGGAATCGTTGAAGATGCAACTGATGTGAATCGTGATCAGAGAGGCTCTGAGTATACGCTCTCTCGCAGACCACATTCACCTGCACAGTCACTTGATGAGTTCGAAACTGCAACGGCTCCTCAGGCTTGCCTTGATAGCCTGAAGGATGAAAAACGCGGTGAAGACGCGAGCAATTCCATCCCGACCAATAATACAATATCGGAGCCACCGATTCCGGCTGTCGCAATTCCTTCTCGTGTGATGGATGCTAAGCCTAACAAAACTTATGCTCCGTCATCCTCGAAGCGTGCCGCGCCAGAAATTGCGACTATCACGATAGGTGACCATACAGTTACAAGCGTCATTGGTTCGGCACCCAAAAAGCAGCGCCTTGACGGTGAGCGAAAACGGCATTCATCCGAGAGAAAAGGGAGTAGAGCACCGGCACCTGTACCTTCTTTTCGCGGCCGGTTAACCCAGATGTTTGCCGCGCAAGCCGAACGATCGCAGTCTGGCAAGAGTGAAATCATGTCCCCCTCTGTGGATGATTCACATGATTCGGACTCATCAAGTGAACACTTGTTTGTAGGCGACGATGATGAAAATGAAGATGAAAATGGCCCTGGGTCCGATGTCGAAATGCAAAGTGGAGGCGGGAGCCAGAAGTACTCCTCTCCCAACAAAAATGACCTCGAATCGTCTGATTCAACCCCTGAGCCAGAATCAGAGGCTGAGCCCACACCCCCGGCCAATTCAAGAGATGTTGGTCAGACTGACGAGAGCCAAGAGATAAAGTCAGAAAGTAATGCTGTCGAAAATATGGAACACGGTGAAATTCTGAAAGAAAAGACTTTGGAGGAAACAGAAAAACGTGTCCAGGGCTTTGTCAAGGGAGGCATCAGAAAAAAGGACGCGACTCATCATCTCCAGCAAACACTATGCATTAACGAAAAGTTCATTCGTGATGCCTTCACTATACAACAAGAGCTTGCTGGCCATGCTCACTCGAACGAAGCAGCCGTACTAGAGACCGATCAGCTCGACGGGGAGGACGCGGAAGAGAAGCTCTCTCTAACCATAGCCAAATCGGACTTTGAGAAGATGAAGATTATAGGACAGTTCAATCTGGGATTCATCTTAGCTTCCCGTCCAGCTGAGGAGCACTCAGTGGGTATTCCGGATAAGAGCGGCAGAGACAATGAGCTGTTTATTATCGATCAGCACGCGACCGACGAAAAGTACAACTTCGAACGATTACAGGCTAGCACGGTCGTGCAGTCTCAGAGGCTCGTTCATCCCAAGACGCTCGAGCTCACGGCCATGGAAGAAGATATAATAGAGCAGAACATGAGTGCGCTGGAAGCCAACGGGTTCGTGGTCAGTTTCGACGATAGCGGCGACCAGCCCGTCGGAAACCGGTGTCGGTTGATTAGTTTGCCGCTGAGCCGGGAAACGACTTTCTCGCTCGCCGATCTGGAGGAACTCATCTCACTGCTGCAAGATCATCAATCCACATCAGCCAACACGGTCCCGCGACCCTCGAAGGTCCGGAAGATGTTCGCCATGCGTGCTTGCCGGAGCAGCGTCATGATCGGAAAATCACTGTCGGTCAAGCAGATGGAGAAACTTGTTCGACACATGGGTGAGCTTGACAAGCCTTGGAACTGTCCACACGGCCGGCCCACCATGAGGCATCTGTGTGGCTTGGGTGCATGGGATAGTGTGGGCTGGAAAGAAGGCGATGATTTAAACGGAAATCGAAGAGCACCCATTAACTGGGCCAGGTACCTTCGCGAGGAGCAGATTCCTGAATGAATATGATTCACACGAGGTGTATATTGATGTTTGTGTTTTGCTTCCTCCGTCTCATGGATATCACATCTTTGGGTATGGCAACGCTTGGGCTAGGATGGGCATTGCTTGACCGGCGAAGCGGCAGTGATGTGACTGATGTCCGCTACAATATGCAAAACTCGAGGCATTCGAAATTGCATATAGTGAGGCTACTGATTAAACGGGCGGGTGTCCGGGTACTCGGCGCAGGCAGGAATCTGACCTACATAGTAGAGTTGAAAGATCGTTCGCCGATAACGATCATGGCAGATCACCGCGGCATTCCGTATGGAGTTTCAGTGAGTTAGATCCATGTAAACTAATCACGATGTGGTCATGGGGATACCTAGGTATGATCTACATGTGAAGTGAAAGTATCTACTCGCCCAGCGCACGCTCGCTAAACTCATCACTAAGTTACCTGTATACAGACTGTAACTACCGCCTGCTTATTAGTGTAGGTACATGACACTCGACTCTTGACCCTCTCCCCGGAACCTTGAAATGCCTGTGTAGATTTAAATCATCTTGAGTGAATTTGTTAAGGGATAAGATAGAGTTTATGTAAGCATGAATTTTGTTACTTTGTTATCGTTGTCAAAATTGCAAGTGTTCTGAATTCTGATACTACCTGGACTCTAGGTAGATAGGTACCCGTCCGTCTGGCATCACCTACAGAAATCGTCGGGCAGAGTTCTTAGTACTGGAACAGGAGAGTCCTTTTGTAATTCGGGCCTGTAGCTCAGGGGTAGAGCGCTCGCTTTGCATCGACCATCCGATGGTATGCGAGAGGCCTAGGGTTCAAATCCCTACCGGTCCAGTTAGTAGTCTTTTCTTCTTTTTGCTCATTTACGTAATGACCGATTGATTAGTAATGGCCGGCCAATACGGACTAGTTATTAGTTATCTAGATAGTTACGTGTTTCATTCATTTTTCTTTTTCCTTTTTTTTTTTATTTCGGCGTCGCCAATCTTATTACTATTGAGCTAGGTATTCTGTTTTCTTCCATGGTTCTTCTTGTGATTGTCGTTTGAATTCAATAAAGGTGAGAGTGACAGGCTCGATTTACACCTCGTACTTCTACCTTTGGAATGGTTCTGTCCAGTTGGTTTCTATGTGCATCTTGTGCCTCTTTGCACACCAAGGACTTTTGTCGACGATCTTGGACGAGATGACATCCCAGAAGAGAATATGACTTGCGCCTCGTCTTCCGAGAACGCGAGAAACGATCCAATGGAATGAATATCTCGAGTTTAGTCTGTAAGTACGGTAAACGAGTGGCCGGTTCTTCAATAGAACCCATGAAATCACGAGCTAAACGGGTACTAATGAGGCCATAGATAGTCAGCTCATATCACAAACACTAGCATTGCCCATCATTCTCAGATATCAAGCCTCAGGCGCTTTGCTTTTTATCGGGGAAGCTCATGGCGCATTTGAGACGCTCTCTGTTGCTTGACACCTTTCTCGATCAATATTGCGGGCTGACATCAGACAGCTATCAAGTCAATATAAGTCAATATAATTCGCCATGTGATCTGCTTATATTAAGTCTCAACCGCCCGCCGACAGCACTGAGTCGAACTGTCTGTGGTCTATCTACCTTAGCCTAGCTATCTACACTTGCATCCTCGCTCCCGTGTCTCGGAGTTCACTTTCCGCGCCTGTTCATCTAACCTAACCTACTTGGCTAGTCTAGGCCGGGAGGAACGGAAAGCTCCAATCCAACCATTGTCAACAACATCAACAACAACAACAACAAATTATTCAAATTGTCATTGCCTATTTATGTTACAGTTGAAGTGGTACTCTCCAAGTCTACAATGTCACCACACACTCTACAAGACGACGCTTCGGCCGATTCGGCACAGCATATAGGCCATGCTGCCATTCGGCCCCCCTCTCCGCCGCCCATGTCTGCGGACCCTCCGCGACTCCTCATCATCGGCGCTGGGTCCCGCGGTCACGTATACGCGAAATGCTCCCTGCAATCAAGCAATGGCATAGTCGCTGCAGTGGCCGAGCCTAACGACTATAAGCGCCAAGAATTCGGAGCCAAGTTCATCTGGGGCCAGACAGCATCATCATCGTCGTTGTCGTCGTCGTCGTCGCCGCCGGACGGAACGAGCTTCAAGCACTGGAAGGAATTCGTGGCATGGGAGCTAAACCGCCGCGAACGAGAGAAAGCAGGCGAACCCGTTCCGAAAGGCATCGATGCGGCCTTCATCTGTGTGCGGGATGAATTGCATCACGATGCGATCATGGACCTCGCACCGCTTGGTCTTCACATCATGTGCGAGAAACCGCTCGCCACGACGCTCGCGGACTGTATCAACATATACCGGACCCTGGCGCCGCTGCAAACGAGCAAAGTCTTTTCCATCGGACACGTCATGCGCTATTCGCCCCACAACATGAAGCTGCGAAAGCTCCTGCTCGAAGAGAAGGCCATCGGCGATATACTCAGCATCAATCATACCGAGCCGGTGGGATTATGGCACTTTGCGCACAGCTTTGTCCGTGGAAACTGGCGAAAGCAATCAGTCACTGCGCCATCCCTCCTCACCAAAAGCTGCCATGATATCGATATTATCCTATGGCTCATGTCTTCCCCTGCGCCCGGATCGAATGCGCCCGAGCATCTTCCCTCCTCCGTCACATCCTCAGGCTCCCTGCAGGTCTTCAGAAAGGCCCGGAAGCCGAAAGCCGCAGGTGCAGCGACCAACTGTCTCAGCTGCCCGGCCGAGCCGGACTGTCTGTATTCCAGCAAGCGGGTTTACGTAGGCCCGAAATACAAGGGCCTCGAGACAGGTAATGTCCTATGGCCTGTCGACGTTGTGCTTCCGGACATCGAGAGTTTCGGCGGCGACATGCCCAAGGCGAAAGCTGCCATGATGGAAAAGCTCGCGGAAGACTACGATGAGTCGACGCCGCAGGAGGTGATTGACAGCAGGAACTGGTTTGGTCGCTGTGCTTTCGAGTCTGACAATGATGTGTGCGATGAGCAAGTCGTCGTCATCACTTGGGAGGACGACCCTCTTCCCTCGTCCAGCGCGGCGGCGGATGATTCTCTCGGGCCACGGGGTGCGAAGCAGGCGACCTTCCACATGGTTGCGCAGACGAAGCGGCAGTGTGAAAGATACACCTACATCTACGGCACCGAGGGCGAGATCTACGCGGACTCCAAGACGATTACCATCGAGGACTTCCGGACGGGCGAGACGAAGACATACCACCCCAAGCTAGAGAGTTTGGGACACGGCGGTGGTGATCACGGGCTCACCAGGCAATTTGTTCTCGCCGTCGACAGCGTTAAGAATGGATGGAAGGCACAGGATGCCCAGGTAAGTCAAATCATTTTCCCTATGCAAATACACGACCAAGGTTGAATTATTCACTCAGCGATGGTTTTCTATCTATTCCCGCGAGTTGCAGAAAAAAAAAACCCCTCATTCCCCTCCAATCCTACCATAATAATCACGGCGTGACTGACTACTGACTCCCAAATAGCACGAGTTCATCGGATGTGACTTGGACGAGATCATCCGCAGTCACGCAATGGTATTCGCTGCCGAGGAGGCGAGGAGAGAGAAGAAGACAGTGGACTGGAAGACATGGTGGGACCAGAACGTTGGCACAATCTAATATTTCTTTTGTGGGTTTCCGGCGTGATATAGCTGCTAACCTACGGCTTACGCGGGAGATTTTGGTTTCATGATGAGACATGTGCTCCTTTTCATGCTACGGGAACTTGCTCCATAATGATAGGCCAGTCACTTATTTCTCATTCTTGGGATGTTTTCTGGAAGAGATGTTATGAGAGAAGGTGAATATCCCTATAGTGCCCACATGGGAGTCGAGTCCGTCTTCTAAGGCATAAGAGCTAACTAGCATATCATTGCCGGCTGTATGAGAATGATGCTAAATCACTGATTGTTAAGACACGAACGACTGTAGGGCCAGGAACATGGAAGAGGGTTTCTACGGAGTTTACATCGTTCATTCCTATTGTACCCTTAAAAGATCTCTGGAATCATCTAGGGGCGTTAAGCAGATAGATACGACGTCATGTCAGTGTCCTCGCTCAGATTCAAGATGCATAAAAAGGGACAGCGCAGAGAAGATGAAAAACATGTTCGAAAAGGCCGGATTCGTCCCCGAAGGCATAAACATCGTATTATCATTGCCGTTAAAAAAATAACTATAAAAGCAACCGGAAAAGCATCCCCAGCCAGCAAATCGGCTATTTTGCTAAAAAGCGTGTCCCCAAATTCCAGTTACTTGAAATCCCGACTTTCCTTTGTTTCTTCTGTTTCTTCTTCTCTCGGGGGTATACTGGGATCACCAGTCAATGGGATCCTTGAGTTCCTGTCCACGATTCGTCGTTGGAACTTTAGCAGCCTTCACCGCCAACTTGCCGCCTTTCCTACGTAGGTATGCTTTGCCGTCAATCCACGGCGTCAACTGTGTGATCTTTTTCTCATGCTCCACGATCTTTTCCTCGAGCTGTAGAGTAAGACCGATATCATCGAGTCCGTTTACTAGGCAGTGTTTACGGAACTCCTCGACGTCAAATTTGCAAATCAACTTGTCACTCTCGTCGCGGATCTCCTGGTTCGGCAAGTCGATCTTGATCTCCTTGCCAGCGCGGGCCTCCGTCGCGATTTTGTCCAGATCGGCGGGGTTTGTGATGGCGATGGGCAACATGCCGTTCTTAAATGTATTGTTGAAGAAGATATCGGCGAAAGATGGGGCGATAATGCAGCGAATACCGAAGTCATTCAGGGCCCAAGGTGCGTGTTCGCGAGAGCTTCCGCAACCAAAGTTCGCTCCGGTGACGACAAGGGTCTTCGCCTTAGTATAGGGTTCCTGGTTGAGAATGAATTCGGGATTGGGCGTGCCATCCTCGTTGTACCGCCATGGGTTGAACAGGGCCGAGCCAAGACCGGTACGTTTGATGGTTTTGAGGAATTGTTTGGGAATGATGGCATCAGTATCGACATTGGTGCGATCCATTGGCGCGGCAATACCACTATGCACGAGGAATTTGGGAAGGCCCTGTGAGCCAGCGACCTTTGTGACTAGATCTTGTGAGGTCAAGGAGCTGTCTTCTGGCTGATCGGCGAGTGCCTCCTTAGCTGATGCGTCGCCGGCCTCGATACTCTCATCAACGATCGGTTTGCTTGATGGCGCAGGTGCTCTAAATGCCTCGATATGGGGGCTAGCCGTATAGCTGGTCAATTTCCGGACATCGGCAAGCTTACCGACGATAGCAGCGGCGGCAGCCATGACGGGGGACATAAGATGAGTCCGGCCCAATGCACCTTGTCTTCCCTCGAAGTTTCGGTTACTTGTGCTTGCACATCTCTCTCGGGGTGAGAGGATGTCAGGGTTCATGCCCAGACACATACTGCAACCGGCTTCTCTCCATTCGAAGCCCGCCTCAAGGAAAATCTTGTCAAGGCCCTCTGATTCAGCCTGCTCCTTGATTATTCCGGAGCCGGGGACGATCATGGCTAGTTTGATATTGGATGCAACCTTTCTGCCCTTGACTACCTCGGCGGCAGCACGGAGATCCTCAATTCGGGAATTTGTGCAAGAACCAATGAAAACCTTGTCGACAGGGATATCCTCGATGCGAGTTCCCGCGGTCAGTCCCATGTATTCAAGCATTCTGCGGCCGCTCTGCTTCTTAGCTTCCGTCGAGAAGGTTTCAGGGTCCGGTACTGATCCAGTAATAGGGACAACGTCTTCTGGGCTGGTACCCCATGTGACCGTCGGGACAATGTCCTTGGCGTCGATCTGAACGTCGATGTCGT